ATCAACCATCATATCTTTTACCATTTCCCATGATGATTTTGTGGTGGATCGGTTCGTATTGACTGGAGGCTTCGAGTAAGACCTTCGACGCTACACATATATTGAGGCTTCGACACGATTTGCAATGTCGAGAGCAACATGTTCCGATGGTAGGTCAAGGAAATCGAGCAAGCACTCCGCTGAGAATTGACTCAAAGTTATATACCTATAGATCAAATCTCCTAGACAAGCTCTTCCATATGTAACTTATGGCATATTTGATAACAGTTAGTAACACTTAAGACATCAGATAGGGACTTGTGGCGTTGTCCGTCGACCTAAATGTAATCCGGAAAAGATTAACAAAACGATACACGGAGACAGCAACGCTCGTCGGGTTTTCTGACCTTCGGGAGTGTGTCTAAATACAAGTCCAGAACGTCCATTCCGGATATAGAAATGTGTTGATTGACATTGCAGCCTTCAATATTTGGTTCGTGCACTCGCGAGTGTGATTCAAATGCTTTCTCGAATCTTCACCGAGGCCGCCAGCAGGCACACGGGGCACTAGTAGCCACCACTTCTCATACCGTTGATGCAGTGTTTCCCGGAAAGAGGCAGATCCATCGGCAACCGGTGCTACAATCCCTTGATCAACATACCAAAACTGTGTTGGTAAAACTATCTAATATATCCATCAGCATGTTATCGAGTTTACGTAGGGCCGGGAGATTTACGAAAATATCCGATCTAGGCCTGAAAGTCATGACCTGTGTAAAGCACAAAATAAACAGTTAAAAAGTCGAAAAACTTCGACTCCGGTGTCATATCCCTATATTAACGTCAGGGATACATCAAACACCGATATCTAAAACGATATTTCGAAGAGAAAAATGAAAAGTCGGAGCAATACCTCGAGCTTACTTCCATCCGGCAAATTTTGCCAAGAAGGTGTGAACAATTTGGTGACTAACACAAACAAGCCATTCCATCTCTCTTTTCCACATTGATTTCTTCTCCTCAGGAATAGGCTCTAATCTCCATATTTGCCCAAATACAGTAGCTACATGTATGATCATAATTTCGATGTTTTAGATCGATCTTTATCGCAACCTACCATGAAGTTGCGATAAACACCGGAATCATTTCCGTGATCGTAATTTAAATCCCAAAACTCGAAATTTATAAATTTCTGAAGGGGAAAGAGAGTTATACCGCAGAGATTGGTAATGGCATTTGAAATAGCCAGAGCTGTTCAAACCGCTTTGCCTGAACCTGACATGTCTTCACCAAGCAACAATTTTGCAAATCTCTACTTCATCATATCAATCTCTACTTAAATTTCCAAAGCAAAAATAAAACCAATTAGACTGTAAAAGATTCAAACTTTGGTCTAAATTGTTAATATATTGCTCGTATTCGAACACGAATTTATCCGAATTTAAACTTAAAAACAACATTACTCACCGTTATTCTTTGAACCCGGTTTTTTAATTTTGCCAGCTGAGTTCTTTGACAGTGAACCAGCAGCAGTGGTAGTGGCTCTCCTTATAGGCCAACCCAAAAGAGAAGAAGCTGACCCGGACTCGGAGTCACTGGAACTGCTCTCTTTTGAATCACCACAACCATTAAAGCTACTCGACTCACTTACAGACACTGACTCGGTCCAATAATCTTTTTTCTTCATCAAAGCCTTCATATTTGGAAATTTAGCTAACTTGAAAATCTACCCTTCTCTTTATCTTTGAAAAAAACATACAAAAGAAAGTTAAATCTTTGAGTTACAAAGAGAAGTAATAAATTTTGACTCACCGCCATTGAAGCTTCTCAACTCACTTACAGACACTGAACATGTCCAATGAGATCTCTTCTTCATCGAGGCCTCCATATTTGAGATTTTTGCTTAGTTAAAAAAACTACCCTCCTCTTGTCTTTGGAAAGAAGCTTAAAAACAATAACACAAAGGCTGAATCTTTGGTGGAGTTTAGATCGTTGGAATGTTTATGGAAAATTGGAATGTGAAGAATTAGAATTTGGGAAGGAATTGAAATTCGTAGAAATTGAAATCGGAATTTGATACATGTTTGATTGGCAGTAAATTGAATTGAAATTCAATTACATATTCTGTTTAGTTCGCAGACATATAAGATGAATTTGATTTTAGTAATGTAAAATGACATAATTGTCCTTCTTATTTTTTTTGTTTAATTTTAGTTTGTTTTATAACTTACATGTAGTAATATATTATAAAAAATTAAAAAATATTAAATTTTTATTTTATTGATTGATTATTCATTTTAATAAATTATAAAAATCATACTAATAAAAGTTATAAGTTAAAATCATCTTAATTAGGGATGGTCATGGTCGGGTCGGGTTTTTGATTTACCCGAGACCCGATCCGACCAAAATAAAGTTTCTCCTGACCCAACCCGACCTGAAATAATAAAAAAATATTTTTATTCAATAAAAATAGTGACTTAATTGAAAAAAATTTTATATAGAGGGATATTATTGTAATTATTCCTAAATATATATATGGTAAAATTATATATTTTTTTCGAGTCGAGTATTTATCACCCTAAACCCGAACCCGACCCGAATATCACACTTAAAAAAACCTGACCTGACCCGAATATCAAACTTAAAAAACCTGATCCGACCCGATTTTTTTAAAAAAATCCGACCCGATCCCAAAATATTTTTTTAAAATTCCAACCCGAATACCAAAAGATTGATGAGGGTAGTATGGTCAAATTTCACATTCCCTCCTCCAAAGGATTTCAATTTCATCATGTTATGGATGAAATTTACTTTTCCTCCCTTGATGAAATTAGATTTCAATTCCCTATTTGAAAACTTGAACCAAACATAGGAAAATGGTGGAATTGTATTCTAATTCCCCCTAATTCTAAGAGATTTCAGCGAACCAAACGTCACCTTATAGTTACAGAGAGGGAAATTAGCACGTGCGACATAATTAATATACGGCTAAAAAAAGATGCTATCGATTTTATTATTATTTAAATAACAAAACCAGTAAAAACTTATCGAAACATTATTATTTCTACTGATTTGTTATTATTTAATGCTTTACCGGTTTGGTAAAGCGCTACTGTTTTTGTTATTTTTTCTATCGATTTTGTTATTGTTAGACACTTTACCGAAAATATTAAAAAATATTAATATTTTAAATAAAAATAATAATATTTTAAATAATTTTTACTAATTTTATTATTTAAATAATAACAAAACTAATAACAAATTTTAACTTGGTCGCACTGTATAACTTCCTTCAAAATAACGGAAAAGAAAGTGGGTGAGTTGTGGGCTAGTTTGGAGCCGATAAATGTGTCAATCTACGCTCTCCCCACTGGGACATTGTGCATGCGAATGCACATACGTATTAAATACGAGCACTCATATATAGTTTAATTGGTTAATTCGGCTGGTATCCACATCGAATTAATTAATTTTTAATTAATTTTTAGTTAGATTTATTTGAGCTTAATATAGGTATTGTTTTTATCTTGATTAAATTTTAACCGATTTTTGAAGGCTAAATGGGTCTAATATAGTTAAAAAAAAATAGATAAGTTTTGATTGTTAACGGATATGGCCTCAAAATATCCTAATCCTCTTTTTTTAAGGTTCCACTTAACTTAGAAACTAGGAAAATTAAACCTTGCTCTACTATGTTTTATTTATATTCCTTTGGTTCCTTTTCATTTTCCAAATAAAACAAATTGATCATAACCCCTCTATTTCAAGTTTAAATTAATTGTTTAACAATTAGAGTTTCATCATCATTTTATTTCTCTTTAGATTTGTCCATAAAGTTTAATCCTAACTTTATCCATCTCCCTAACACCGCATCACCTGTAATGATATAGTGGCATACATTATTATCTAGTTAGTCATAAAATAATATAAAAATAACCAAACAACGTATTTAGTCACTCAGTTATTCTGGCGGTTCCATTTTCGTCATCCATTTATTATTTTTTTTAATATTATATCTAAAGTTACGTTTTGATTCTCGTAGTGATGCTAACATGTCACCGTAAGATAATATCACGTCATAATTGGAAAAATTAAAAAAAAATTGTCAGGTCAACAATTATGTTTATTTTTAACGGTGTATGATTAAAACTAAAAAAAAAGTAACTTTATGTATGACTTTGGAAAAATAATTAGTTGACCAAATCAGAACCACGAGAATAATTGAGTGACTAAATACTTAATTCACTCTATAAGAATTAAGGAAAATTGCACATTTAGTACCTAAACTATCAATTGGTCTGTTTTAGTACTTAAATTTTCAATTTTTTTCAAAACTATATCTAATGTTTAGTTTTTATTTCATTTCGGTACCTCGTCGTTAAAAACTTAATGTGTTTAGTACATAAACTATCATTTTTTGTCCGTTTTAGTACCTAAACTTTTAATCTTTTCAAAATTGAACTTTAAATTTTTGAATGGGGTACTAAAATGAAACAAAAACTAAAGTTCTTAATGGAAATGTTCTAAAATGAATCAAAAACTAAACTTCACGTATGGTTTTGAAAAAATTGAAAGTTTAAGTACTAAAACATACTGAAATGATAGTTTAGGTACTAAATGCAAATTTACCCTAAGAGTTAATAGTACACAACCACCAATAAAGTCACGAAACGCTTAATATTTGGGAGACAAATCGAAGAAAGGTGACATATATAAAAAAGACACGTGGAAAACATGTCACCTTTTCTCATGTGTAAGGGCATGGATTTGATTCTTTGAACTAAAAAACTTTTAAAAAATAAAATTTCAGAGTTTCCATAAATAGAAAGTGAAGTTGTTTCCTTTGGCTGTGATAAATTCTCGCATTGAATTTCAGCCATGTGAAAAAATTGAAAATGGAAAGAAGAGGTAGACAAATATATCCCAGTTTTCGTGTATAAATATATAACCTTTATAGATCCAAGAAAGACAGACAAAAGAATAACAGGAAAAGATAATTAAAAAAAACAAAAAAAAAGGAAATATCAAAAACAAAGGTCAAACATGGTAGTAGCAGACAACAGATTTGATGTAGAAAATGATAAATCATCGGCTGTTTCCCGCCCACAATCGGCTCATGAGATTGGTGTTGGTATGTTTCTTCTTCTTTTTGCTTGCATTTTCTGGGAAATTTTTGATTTTTTTCCTTTTGAATTTGACAATTTTCTGGGTTTATGTGTGCGGAAGATAGTATATTTAGTTGTAATTAGATATAACTTTTTTTAGTAAACTTTTACTAATAAAATGTTTTCAGGTTAAATATGTACTTGATAAATAAAGTGGTTTGTTTTTATTACTTTAGTATTTAAATTTTTTTATTTTATTTCGGTGTCTTAAGTTATAAACTTTTATGTTTACTATTTTTATTGTCTTAGCTGATTAAGTGATATGTCAAATATGCGTATTTTATATAGTATTTTTTAGGGCATTATATCTCAAATTTTGTGTGAGTTGTATAAATATAATTATAAAATAAATATTTTTTAAATAATTTAAAACTTTTAAATAAAAATATTATACACTTAAAGTCTTGAATTTAATTTAATGTTCACATAGTATTGGAAATGAAATTTTTTAAAACTATAAGCTTTCATAGTTATGTGATGTTGCTTCTTCCAATTAGGAACTTTTATTTTATAATATTAAAGTTATTATGAATACGAGTGTGAGTATTGAATATACATATAATCGAATTTTTAAATATTTTTTATGTCTTTACATATTTAGATCCCTTATAGTTAAAAATCGTGACATACAAAAGTTGAATTACAAATATTTTGAGAAAATTAGGGTATAAATTCAACTCAATTTACCATAAAAGATAACTCGAATAGCCGAACCCATAAAACCTTAACTTGAAATGATCCGATGAATAGGTCTAATTTTAGGTCATGTGATATTCTTGTTTAACTAATCTGACCTGAGTGAGATTATAGATCATTGGTTCCAGGCAGCATTTGTGCTGACCACCGGTGTCAATAGCGTCTTCGTGTTGGGATATTCCGGGACCGTCATGGTCCCGCTTGGTTGGGTCGGAGGTGTAGTCGGTTTAGTTTTAGCAGCCATTGCATCATTGTATGCAAACATGCTTGTTGCCAAGCTCCATAATTTTAGAGGAGAGCGTTGTATCCGATATAGAGATCTCGCAGGAGAAATATACGGTACGAGCTACCGTTTAACTTTTCATTTTTCTTAAACTATTCAGGTTTAATATTCATATCTTGTTATTTTTCTCAACAGGTAAAAAAGCTTACGTTATAACATGGATATTGCAATATGTTAATCTATTCATGATTAACATAGGGTTTCTCATTATGGGAGGTGCTTCCTTAAAGGTAATTCGAGTTCTTCCTCAAGTATTGTCGAAATTTCTTTTGTTCTATCTTACCAATAGATGTCTATTAAATATTGATAAGACTCACATTAAACTTATAAGATATCATCGGCTTTGACATTGATGTGTCAGATTTTTTCGATTTCGGATTAAAGTGTAGAATAGGTTATTTTTTAGTTATGAAATGAATGAATATTAATGCAATGCAGGCTTGTTATGTACTTTTCACTGATGACCATACTATGAAGCTTCCATACTTCACGGGCATAGCTGGATTTGCTTGTATATTGTTTGCCATTTTAACGCCAAATTTGTCGTCACTAAGAGCATGGCTTGGATGTTCCACATTTCTCAGCTTAATTTACATCATCGTGGCTTCCGTGCTGGCTGCCCGAGATGGTAAGTTTTTATATTGTGTAAGCAGATTTTAAGCATGCAAGGGTAACAACAAAGAAGATGGGGTTCTTGCTCTGAATCTTCATATTGATTAATTACTCGTTTAGATACATGATTTAACTTCAATACTTTAATTTGAATAATGATATTCCCATGTTTTTTTCTTTGTAGGAATGAAATTACCACCAAGGGATTATAGTCAACACGGGACAACAAGTAGCAAGATATTTGAAATCATAGGGGCATCTTCGAGTCTTCTCTTTGCATTCAATACAGGAATGGTTCCAGAAATACAGGTGAGTCTAAAATCAGTCATGGAATCTCGAAATCTACGTAACTCGAACTAAAGGATGATTGTCGGATATTAGTTTGTGCCCGATTCGAGTATGTTTATTCAATTTTTATTTCTTTTTATACTTCTCAACCATTGTTTTCCAATCAGGCAACGCTGAGGGAGCCATGTGTGGAGAATATGTTGAAAGCTCTGTACTTTCAGTTCACAGTCGGAAGCGTGCCGATATTCACCATTACGTTTATCGGCTATTGGGCCTACGGATCTTCCGCACCGGCGTATTTGCTTAGCAGCGTAAGCGGCCCGGTATGGTTGAAGGCATTCGCCAACATTTCAGCCTTCCTACAATCAGTCATTTCTTTACATGTAAGCAACACTTTCTTGTCGTTCAATTTTTCTGATGTTCAATGTTCATAGGTCGGGTCTGATTGAATCAACGTGATTAAACTTTGTTAATGATCGTAGATATTCGCGAGTCCGGCATACGAGTACATGGACACGAAATTCGGAGTCAACGGAGGCATCTTCGAGATTAGAAGTTTATTTTTCCGGATCGCAGCGAGGGGCGGATACCTTGCCATCAGTTCGCTTGTGGCGGCTCTTCTTCCATTCCTCGGCGATTTCCAGAGCCTCACCGGGGCGTTGAGCACGTTCCCGTTGACGTTTATCCTCGCGAATCATATGTATATCGTGGCAAAGAAGGACTCACTGAGTAGCTTACAACAAGTATGGCATAAGCTCAACGTTGTTTTCTTTAGTCTTATGTCGCTTGCTGCAACAGTTGCAGCTGTAAGGCTCATAATGGTGGATTCCAACAAATTCAGTGTGTTTGCCGATCTTTGATGTGTGGAGGTCAAAAATTCCAGCCGAATCGAGTTTGGATGTTCGAGTGATCAATCGGAGAAGAAGATCGAACTATTCAAGTTGGTTTGATTAAGTTCTTTTTTATTGTAAAAAAAAAAAGCTCGAGTTTTTGTACTGGAATTTGAATTCAAGTCCAGATTGAAAATTTTCATTATTAAATAAAAATAAAGAAAGCTCGATTAAGCTTACAAACTATTTGAGTTAAACATTAAGATATTCTAATTTAGATTCCTCGATTCAAAGTTTTTTGAGTTTTACTTGATGATGATCAAATCTTTATTGGCAACAAAACAAAATATTAATACTCTTTAATAAATTAAAAGGTAGGGGTTTTTTTTATGGCGGATATCAAATTAGAATTTAAACTAAATATTAGGTATTAAACGTGTAATTTACCCTACTGTTTACCATTGGGCCTTTTGATATGAATAAAGCCCAAAGACCGAATAAACCTCGTGATTTCCTAGGACCTTAAACGCTTATATTTACCAAATTCCCCAAACCCTAACCAATTAGGGTTTTCTCACTTGCAGTCGCCACTGTCGGAATCAAAAGGAACAAGCTTCGGCTTCCGAATCGGCCGAAATGGTTAAAGGACGCCAAGGAGAGCGAGTCAGGTACCCTTCTGATTTGATCTCCTCATTTTCTCTTTCAAAACACTAATTTTTTTTCTAGTTTATGTTTTGATATATAGAATATAGTTTTCATTTTTCATTTGTTCTTTTTAATTGCAGACTCTATGTAAGAGGAACCATCTTGGGTTACAAGAGGCAATAAGAATTTAACCTTTTTATTGCATTTATTTTATTTTATTTTATTTACTGTTCTGTTTTATTTGAACTGTTCCCTTTTTTTTTGGTGAATTAGTGAATTTGTAGGTAGTCTTTGGGAGCTTGGGTTTAAAAAGTAATGTAAATTAGGTGATATGACATAAAAACGTAGTATTCAATATTCGTGATTATTTCTGAATTCCATGAATTTGTTTGGATGCTTATTTAGTGGTGAATTAGAAATTCCGAAATATTCGTGATTATTTCTGAATTCCATGAATTTGTTTGGATGCTTATTTAGTAGTGAATTAGAAATTCCGAAGGAATTTATGAATTCAACGAATTAATTTTTCTTGTTCTTTTTTAAATATATAGTACTTTGCAACTCGGCTAATTTATAGTAATTTGAATATTTAGTTATATGTGTGAGTTATTTTAGCTCATTTAATGTGCTAAGGAAAATGAAATTGAATGTATATAAAGAAGGAGGTCCTCTCCTGGGATAGGGAAAGGGTTGTAATTTTCTGGATTCGAATTCTGGGCTTGTTGGATCATAGGATGCCATTTTTTAAGGATGGTTGTGTGAATTACTTGAGCAGTAGAGCTAAGTGGCAGGTTTTGGACTTCTCATTTATTGATTCATTTTTAGAAAATGAGTAAAGGAAACAAGAATTTAGTTGCACTGATTTGCAGAAGTTGGATTTTTGTTGGCTATAGAGTCATGCTAGTAACTTGTTTTTATGAACTGAAATTACAGATTGGGAAACAAAGGGGACAAAAAGTAATTTTTTTTGTTAACTAAAATGAGGGTTAGGGTTTTCTTTTATTTTTTAACTGAGTGTAGAAACTTGGAACTGAATTTTGGAGCTGGTTTTCTTTGTTTTCTATTATTGCTTAAATTTGTATTTGGTGGTTTTCAGGTCAAAGTCGAACCAGTATCCGAGCACTTCATTGATCCAGATTGAGGGAGTTAACACTAAGGAGGAAGTATCTTGGTATGCCGGCAAGCGGATGGCATATATTTACAAAGCAAAGGTGAAGAAGAACGGCTCACACTATCGTTGCATTTGGGGAAAGGTTACTAGACCTCATGGTAATAGCGGTGTCATTCGTGCTAAGTTCAAGTCTAATCTTCCCCCCAAATCAATGGTTAGTTTGGTTTATGTGTTCGTATTCAATGGCTTACTTTCTGTACATTGTACTTTTGATCTTAAAATATCTTTTGTTTCCTTTGCAGGGAGATAGAGTCCGTGTCTCCATGTACCCCAGCAATATATGAGGTAACGTGACTTCCAGTTTGCGATCATTCTTATTTGTTCTGTGGGTTCGTGAGAGTTTGCCTTTTTATCTGTTTGATTCCAGTTTGTTCATTCATATCTGAGGAACCTTTATCATGTTTAATGATTCAACTTTATTTGAAGATTAGCTTCTTGATGGACTAGTTGATTTTGCATTTTGATTGATGGATTAATTAATTGTTCCATCCCTGTCTGTCTTTATGACAACTTTTAGTTTTCGTCACTGTTTTTAATCCAGTGGCCATGTTCGATTCATATGTTCTTCTTGTTTCGATTACAAACTCCGTGTGATTATTCCTTGTGAGACCCCTACATTGACGTCATGCAGTTCTGATTTTATTTGGATTGTTGTTTACCCCATTATTGTTGCACTTATACTAAGATGTTCTTTCAAACTAGTCTATCATGTGAAAACATAAGAGAACAATTCATGAACATTATTCTATTCGAGCTATACAATTATATTGTTTGTTCATCCTCTCGTAAGTTTGCAATTCTTTCCTTGCAGTCCGACCGCGTTCAATCAAGGACATGAGTGATTCCGTCTTTTTCACTTTTGTCTCTGTAAACCTGGTCAAGATGATAGTGGATGAGAATGTAGTGTTTACATATTTTTCATTACCAAGATTTTACAGTAATTTGTCCTTTGTACTTTGAAGTTTTTGGCATCATTTATGGAGCTGAATAGCATGATTGGTCGACTGTTCTTTCAACTTTATCTTAAATTACTTCACGCATTGCGCATAATAAAAACCGCACCAGTTGAATCCTAAATCTGACCATTGTTTGAGGCGTATGTATGAATCTGAGAACATTGAGATATTAAAAACCGGCTCGATTTTTGGTCTGATTTTATAAGCATGTTATTGCTTCCAAAATATATAAAGAAAACCATAAATCTTGCAGCTCATGTAGTGTTTGTGAGATGATGATTTGATCTGAATTTTATGGATTTTGACCGTGCCAGATAGGGTTGGGGAAAGTCTAAGGAACAATTGCCCACTTTATTTTAAGGCTAAGAAATGGCATGCAGTTGAGAATATGGTAAAAAAAAACTTAACATTTTTGGGTTGGCCACAATTTAAAATGTTAATTTCTTTTTTTTGACATTTTTGGTTCGTTACAACTTAAAATAATTTAAAATGTTAATTTATTTTTTGACATTTTTGGTTGAATTGATAAAGTAATATTTTTTATTGATAATTGAAAATATTATAAAAAGTTAATATTTTTTTGTTGTGTTTATTTGAAAATGTTATATTTTTTATTATATTTTTGGATATGTTTATTTCTTATTGTTTTTAGTTTTAAATTAAGTTGTCGTATCGTAGAATAATTTGATGAAGTTGAGATTTTTCTTTTTCAAAAAATCTAATTTGAGTGGAGTTATGACGAGGTTGAGTTTTATTTTTTCTTTTTCAAAAAATCTAATTTGGGTTGAGTTATGAAGAGTGAGGTTGAATCGGGGTTTTCTTTAGCCATATTCAAAATAATAATATAATTTTTATAAATATTAAAAGATGATTATTATAATATTGTAATTAGGTTTTCATTTTATAGGTTGAAAGTAAGACTTTTTTTTATAGAATAAATTAAGTTCTTGTTTTAAAATTTAGTTTGGCCTCGGGTTGAATAGAACTTTAAATTTAAATTGAATTTAGATGGAGGAAATATGTTGTTATGGTCGGATTGATTGAATATTCAATCTAATCCGAGCTCTTGCCATCCTCAAGTTTATACACGTAATTTTATTTGTTTTTTCTTTTTGAGTAAGTTATACCCAAGGTAAACTATATTAGGTAGAAATGAATTTTTTAATTTTTTTTTATTAATTTCGGATTAGTATAAGTAATATATGTTCAGAGATAATTCTCATTCATTTAAAATATGATGTTCATATTCTTTGTATTCAGAGTGTTCGAATCTAAGATCTTAAAGAATAATAATAATTTTTCATAATCTAAATTGTTTGGTTTGTGTGATTCTTTAGTTATTAAACTTATAAAAATTATTATAAAATAATCACTAAATTTCATAGAATTATTATAAAAATTAATAATTTAATACTTTTTAATAATTATTTTAATATTATAATGATTATTGTATAATAACTTTAATAATTATTTTTCAAAAAAAATTGAGTGATAGATATTTTGTAATTCTATTATTGGGTAAATTAATAAATGTCAGACTTGGTCTCTTTAAGCCAACTTCATGGCCAATAGGGGTGTGCAAAAAAACATGATATGACCGATTTAATTCGTTGATCCGATTCGAAAATTTAAATATCCGATATGTTTTTTAATTTTTGGATAGTTTGGATCGGGTATCCGAAATTTTTTTCGGGTTATCGGATACGATCGGTAAAAAATTATTTTCGGATTATCCGAAAACCCGAAAAAAATTAAGGTGAATTGCCGGAACTGCCCAATGAATACTTCAAACATGTTCTCAAGATCCTGTTTAAGAACGTTCATGCATCAAAGTAGAGAAAACTAATGGAACCATGTGTATGGAAGAGATAGAGAGAGACAGATCAGAAGAGAAGAGAAGAGAGGGCAACAATTTTTTGTTGAATTAGTCGTGCATCATCTAACCTGTATTGGAATTATGTTCTTGGCACTGGGCTCAAATTCTGAATCATTTAAACAGCCTTGGGGATTCCAAACAATAACACCTCCTCACATCTAAAAGGTTTCATGAGAAGTAATAAGGTAATGCAGCCTCACAGAATAATTAGTAGTGAAAGCATGAATATAATGAAGTTTAGATAACTAACTGGAGATATAAAGCCATTTGTCTTAGAAATCTCTCCATTTGTTAGCTGGAGAATAAGAGGACATTCCTTTGCAGATGGTACATATCTGGCAACAAACGGAAAAATAAACACCTTAAAAAATTATTTGCAAGCAAATAACAAATATGAGAGAGAATCAGAGAGGTTATTGAAAAAGGGCATATCAAAGCAAGCTGCCACTCCTGAATCAATATTTCTCCCAAAATGGACATCGAACCAAAAAAACATTGACAAGAATGGAACCACGCAGTTAATTTTTTTATTGATTTATTTTGTAAAATAAAATCGGATTCGGATCAGGATATTTGGATATCTGATCCGAAATTTTGGATATCCGATTTTTTCGAATCGGATACGGATCATTATTTTAGGTATCTGAAATTTTTGAATATCCGAAAATTCGAATCGAATAATATCTGATATCCGATAATGCACACCCCTAATGGCCAACACCTCCAATTCTCATAATTTAGGTATCAGTTATATGTGTTATTTATGATTTATCCGTAAAGGATCTCTTTTTTTAACCTAACTTTTTAATATTCTTGTATCATTTTATTTTCTTCCTTTAGTTTTTGTTAGTTGACGGTGACAATAATTTTATTATTAGTTGTTGACTGTTGATGATTATTATTATTTTTTTAATTTTTTTATATTATGTCTTTTTTTTTTCTTGATTTTATTTTATTTTTGAATAAGAATCTATCTTTGTGACATGTTTTTCTTTGTTCTTATGACATATTTTTTTTTACTCTTGTGGCTTGTTCTTATGGTTTTTGGTAAGTTTTTTGCATACTTATGCGGTCGTGTTAGTGTTTCAACAAAGAACCTCACGACATTTATTTTTTGATTGGTTTGTCGGTGGTCACGTATTATTATATCTCATCTTTTGTAAATGATCGTTTGTGTAGCAAAACGGTCTGCCAAATTATTTGATTGGCTCACTACTCCTTTATCACGTCGTAAAACGTATTGTTCGACACAAACAATGAGTTTTATGAATGTTATTAGATTATTTTAATGTTTGAAAAGTTTATTCTCTTCGTATCTTTAAGTTTAATATTTTAATTTTATATATTAATTTTTTTAACTACTACCTCCAATTTTCTCTTTATATACATTGTAATTTTGATTTCGTCGTTTTTGTTAATGAAAAACTCAATTATCGTTGTTCAAAAAAAATTGTATCTAAGGCATTAAAATCATCAAACGAAATATATCAATTAATTATTAATATAAACAGTAACATCGTATTTTTTTAATAAATACTGTTTAACTCATTGCCAAAATTTTATTTTAATGAAGGAGTAATTGAGATGTATGAAGGTAGATTGTTGTAAATTAAAGTTATTTTATTGTCAACGTATGGAATATTATTTTATGATTTATTTAATATAATAAGTGCATAAAAATTGAAAAAAGAACCGACTTTTGAAGGGAATTCAAACTCTTCTTCCCTTGTACCATACATTTCCCACTATTAACAGTGACTTGTAAATCGAACCCAAACAAAAAATAAAATAAAATGCTAGAATAAATTAATCTCCCTTAATTAATCAAGAGCCAAATAAATAAGAGGTCAAATTATATCATAGTTCTTATATTTTGTAAAAATTTAGATTTAGTCTCTAAAATTCAATTCGATAAATTTTAGTCTTTGTGCTCTTAATTCTAAACCGAATAACATAGAAACAATACGACTAGATTACACTTGATTCAAGATAATTATATCGAAGGATAGGAATTAAATACAGATCAAATTTTTGTACTAGTCTTTATACAATGCATAAATTGTGGACTTAATCCATATTATCTAATTTGATCATTTTTAATATTTTTATTTTAAATTTTAAAATTTTAATTCTGACTCAAACAATAGTTATGTAATTTATTAAAATAAAATTGTGATTGATCTTTGTATTACACGTAAATCGTATGTTTAGTTCATATATTTATATTTAATCATTTTAAGTTATTGTAATTTACTCATATAATCCATGCATTGTTTAAGTAAGAACTAAAATTTAAAAATATAGGAATTGAAATCGTTCAAATTAGAATACATAGATTAAATTAAATGTACAATATATGTAGAGTTGAAGGTAGAATGATGAATTTGACATTAAATATAGTAATAGTATAAGGAATAAAAATAAATATTTAAATTAACTAATCAACGAACAATAAAATAAAGAAGTGAATAATCCAAACGCCTTTACTTGATCAATTTTAAAATTAGCATCTCATCGTTTTCTCAGTGAAATTTGCAGAGAGGCAGCCGTAGTTGTTTCCATTTTACATAGCATTGTAGCTTTACTTCCTTTCATTTATTTATTTTTTCTTCTCATTTTTCCTTCTCTTTGGAATTCATAGCTATTGTGATGAGAAACTTGAATCAGATCCATGGAAGCTAATTCCATCAAATCATCTCTAAAAACCCAATTTCCCACTCCAAAAACACCCGTAATCCCCCAAACTCCACTCAGATCCACCTTTTTATAACCCCCAGATTCCAGTTTCTCTCAAAACCCAGTTCTTTTTACACCCAAATTAAGATACCCAGATTCTCAAAACCCCACAAAAAACCATGAAAAACCAATCGAAATTGTTCACGATCGGGCTAGTATCAGCCTGGTACACATCAAACATAGGTGTACTGTTGTTAAACAAGTATTTACTAAGCAATTACGGGTTCAAATACCCAATCTTCTTAACCATGTGTCACATGACTGCTTGTTCTTTGTTGAGCTACGTAGCGATTGCGTGGATGAAGATGGTTCCAATGCAAACGATTCGATCTAGGGCTCAGTTCTTTAAGATCTCGGCTTTGAGTTCAGTGTTCTGTGTGTCGGTGGTGTTTGGAAACATTTCTTTGAGGTACTTGCCAGTTAGTTTTAATCAGGCCGTCGGTGCTACGACGCCGTTTTTCACGGCGGTCTTCGCTTACCTGATGACATTGAAGAGGGAAGCTTGGCTTACTTATATTACTCTTGTTCCTGTTGTTACTGGGGTTATCATTGCCAGTGGGGTATGCATTTTTTTTCTATTTTTTCACTTAATCGATTATTTTTGCTTTCTTTTTTGAAATGGGTTAGCTTTATTTAATCAGTTTGGGAATTGGTTTCGCTTCGTTTTGTTGGAATTTCTGTTGCTTTGTATGCTTTTGTTGTAAATGATAGCTTTTTTAGGGGATTTCTTGAAGATCTGGTTGGAATTTGGCTTTGCTTTATTTGTTCAACACTGGGTTACTTTTTCTATGAACATGTGGCTATGACCTCCCACAATGTTCCGAATACATGAAAAAACTAGAAAAAAGCTAACCATACCATGTTCGGATACATTCCTATATCCGCTCACACCCGAGTCCAAGTAACATAGAGTGAAAGGACTAATTTGTTTGCTTAATTTGGATGTTTTCCATAATGGTCTTGATTTGTTGATGATTAAGTCTTTAAGTCTGTTAGGAAACCTTGTTTATGGTTCATCAATGGTTCTTTGTATTTACTAGTTCCTCATTTGCTCATGCATTTCACATATCATATGTTTTGAGTATAGCATTAAGACGTGTGTAGTCTGAAATTCGATGGTACTCGGTCTCAAGTCTATGTGTTGGACACATCTGTGTACGACAAGGGGATTTTCATTTTTTTAATGGTTTTCTTGTATTTGGGCGGATCGAGTGTTGGACATTGGTGCTTCTATAAAATGAAGAATCGGCGCAATATAGCTGCATTTTACCCGTTTATTTGATTTGAAAACCTTCAATGCTCCTCTTTATCTTTTATAATTTTCAATCATCTTATGCATTATTCACATTGTTCCATTTCATTTTCTTAATCCGGTTTCCGGTTCTTATTTTACATTATTTGTACAATGGCTATAGGGTGAACCGAGTTTCCATATGTTTGGGTTTATCATCTGCATTTCAGCTACAGCTGCACGAGCGCTCAAGTCAGTTTTACAAGGAATTTTGCTTTCATCCGAAGGGTGAGGAGATTTTATGCTTTTTGCTTCTACTTCTATGGTATATATAAATATATATTTGCTTTAGATCGAAGACTAGAAACTGGACCTGAAAAATTATTGTAATTTTATATTAGAGAGAAGCTGAATTCCATGAACCTCCTCCTCTACATGGCCCCTATAGCTGTCGTTTTTCTACTTCCAGCGACACTCATTATGGAGGAGAATGTGGTCGGTATCACCCTTGCTCTTGCCCGCGATGATGTAAAGATCATTTGGTATCTACTATTCAATTCAACACTAGCATATTTTGTGAATTTGACCAACTTCTTGGTCACGAAACACACCAGCGCCCTAACTTTGCAGGTACGTCGTGCATCACCTTTTTATGCACCTTTTCTTTGAAATTTGAAGGTGGTTTCTATAAATCTTTTATACGATATGGAATTACATGGACAGAGGTGCATTTTGTTCAATCATTCAAACAAGAAAGTAATTGTGAAGGTTTTGATTACGTCGGATTCGTAAAATCACAAATAGTACCCATCTTTAAGTTGTTTATTTAACCAAAGTAGTTCCTATGCTTGTTGCTTCTTTATGGAGTTATCATAGGAACACAACTGATGTACGGTACCGGTACTGAGACGTTTGTTCTTGCAGGTTCTAGGAAATGCAAAAGGAGCTGTAGCTGTGGTGGTTTCAATTTTAATTTTCAGAAACCCGGTCTCTGTTACCGGAATGCTCGGTTATACACTCACAGTTTTTGGGGTTATACTCTACAGCGAAGCCAAGAAACGAAGCAAATGAGACACCTTTTACGTGTAAGATTGTCATATATGTGGTTTCCTTCAGTGCGAGGACATCTATAATTTTTTAGAGGCCAAGTTTCAGTCATATGGTAGGGCATATGACACTGCAGTTCCGCCTCATAGGTATTCTTTTTCCCTTGGAAGTCTGGGAAAGTGTTTTTTTTTTTTTGTATTGGCAAGAGGTTTGGGATTTTAGTTAAAAAATAGAGGAATTGCCATTTATGTTCTTCATTCTCAGGAAAAAAGTTGTAGAATTGATCTGTATACACTTGATCTATTGCTTACTTTTCAAATATTTTATTAATTAATGGCAAAGAAAACTCAAAGTTACGCTTCTATTTTCTAGTGTGTAATTAGTCTTTGTATGCATGGAATTATGCATATATGATGATCATGGTCATCATTATGGTCATGCAATGTGAGGATGATAAGAATCAATGATTTGCACCATTCTTTACATACAAAGCGTGAAAAACTATTGTTTGGTTGCATGTATCCATGTTGACACTAAGCATGACATCATTAAACATGTGATGGTCATGCCATCATGATGAAAATGCAATTTGAAAATGATAAGAACTCATAATTTCCATACCCCTCCCATTCATGCGTTCAGAAACTATAAAAAAAACCATTGTAGGTATTTGCTCATCTCAACATGTTATATCATTAAGCATGGCATCATTAAACCTACCGTTTACTATAAAATCTTCACATCCTAAAATCTTAAACACTGACCAGAGGCTTACACAAGTGTGTTTATGTACAAGTCTACGTCTTAGTTAATATGAAGCTTTGTTTCGTCGATTTCTATTATACCTCTTTTGGCTAGGCTCTGGCTTCATCTCCGACTTTGGCTCGGTTAATCATCAATTCGATTTTCTCCGGCGTCGGTTCTGTCTCTACCTTTTGTTCACTCCGCTCTTTAGGCTTGATACTGTCTCTGCTCACTAATAGATTACTATCGAGGGCAGTCAAGTTTGGATCATTGCGGTGCTTGTTCCAAGCTGTTTCAAACTGTAGACTTTTGCATCTGTGCTTACAGATAATAAAGAAAAGGATTAGGGTCATGGGGAAAAAAGATTTTAGAAAATTATTCAGATTTCGACGGTTACTTACTGCTGAAGCATGATTAGTAGATTAAGAATACCAGTTCGAATGTCTTCGCGTGCCTTTCTCAGTGCCGCTTCTTTGTATAATACAACAAGCTCATCTACCAATCTGGAAAAAGGGATATGAAAAAATTGAAAACCATGAAAGTAAAGTCTATTGAACAATTCACAATGATTGAGTGCTTAATTTATAGAATCCTCGAAATGGTGTTCACAATGAACAGTGAGTAGAAGGAAGATGACAGTAACAAGTTTTGATAGAAACAACTTCAGATGAAGAATCAGAGCAGGTTTACAGGACTTTTTATCATTCACAGAAAGACTTCAAATGATTGAAATTCCTAAAACAAGGCACAATTAAGAAAATCTACATTCTATTTCATTTTCTCTATGATCATTTGAATCATCACTAGGCATTTTGTTATTACAAACCGTTTAAAATGCCATTAAAAATGATTAAACAAACCAAAATTCCTTTCCATTGAACAAGTCGACCACCTAACTATAAATCAAATGCAAACCCAGAGTATATGTATTTAGTTTACCTTTCAAAGTATGGTGACTTCCGTATCCATGTTAACCGGACAATTGTATGAATTTGTTTGAGAACCTACAGAACAATGAGACTTTAATGGGAAGATTTGTTCTCCTAAACTTTTGAACCCGGAATTAAACTGAAATTTGATGAGCAAGAAGATACAATAATCTTACCAGTAGAACTGTTTCATCATCATCAACATGCAGCCACTGGAAGAGCAGTAGGAAAATACGCCCAATATGGACTAATAACAAGAGGCCCATAGAGTTGAAGATTGGCTCAATAAACTTAAGCCACACAATACGTCGTTCTCTATTCCGTGGTTGTCGCTCCAAATGGCTCAACATCTCGGTCAGGATCTTCTCAAACCTAGATAAAAGGAAATTGAAAAATAAAGAACTAGCCAGCAGTATGTCCACTTCCACCACAACAAAACTATGAAGTACACACCTGAGATATGAATAAAACCAGCTACAAGTATAAAGAAACAACCATTAAAAACAAGTAGACTAAGAAAAAAGTCAGAAATTGATCAAAAGAAGCAACTAATCTTCTGAAATGAAAAACTTCATAACTAAGACCAAGCATATAGCCTCATGCCCGAATCTGAAAGTCACTTCTTGCAATCCAATTGGCCAATTGATAAAACTCCATAAAGTTTTCTCCATAATGCCCATATTAAGACGTTTGAGTCCACATTTATTCACTTCACCATAATAGTGCACAAAGTTTTCCCTACCACGACATAATAAGAACTTGCTAAACTTATCCAATGAACATAATCAAGATGTTGAGGAGACAAAGGCAAGTATACTATGAGATAAGGGGAATATCTTGCATCATAAGACCATACCATACTTAATCAACAAACACAATCCTTAAGAGATGAAGAAAATAACAGGTATACCATACTAAATTTAGTTAACAAACACAATCCATATGCTAAAGAGATGAAGAAACAATTATACTACAAGCTACAGGGGTTATCATGCATCATCGAAGCATACTAAATTTAGGTATCAATCACATTCAAGAAGCTTAAGAGAAGAAGAAAACAAGTATACCATTAGCTACAGGGATTATTGCTAAAGAGATGAAAAAGCAAGTATTATCACAACCTATGGGGATTATCATGAATCATGAGAGAATGCTGAACTTATTTTAACAAAAACAATCAAGTAACTTAAGAGACAAAGGAAACAACCATACCACGATCTACATGTATCGTGCATCATAAGAGCATGCCAAACTTAGTTAATAAACACAATCAAGATACTAAAAGGACAAAGAAAATGACAATACTGCGAAGTAAAGGGATGATAAAGATTGTCTTGCTTAATAAGAGCATCCTAAACTTAATAAATACGATCAAGACATTAAAGAGAATTAGAAAGCAAGTATACCACAGACTACGGGGATCATCTCTTTCAATGCAAGTAACAAGTAAAACCGACATCTCTACAACGTATAGCCATATCTCATCAGCAGAAGCAATGTTCTGGCAGCAAGCATCAAGAATCACGTCTCCATACCAATCAAGAACCCCTGCTTTCACATTTTTTGCTACATGTATAAAGCTAATCATCCCCTGCCCCTAAACATAATCAATGCCAATAAAAAAGGAACATAATTCTATATCTCAAGAATACTATAATCACTTAAACATTAAAATTACAAAGTTGCTTACTTTCACCTCCGGCGACCAGTGATCAAGACAAGTTAGTGCACAAGGAATGACCAAATTTACCATTTTATCTAAATCCAGATACTCAATCTACAAAAAAAGATGATTATAGATGTTTATTTTCTTTTTAAATAAAATAAAAGCAAATATAATTTCTGAGAAAATAAACTTATAATTTATAAAGTACCTTAGAAACAAACCATCTAAATTGATAAGCAGCCAAAATGGCGAAATCTACGGGAGCCCTAGCCGACGCGGCGGAAAATTCATCCGCTTCATCACTCTCGTCAATGGAGCTCTCCTTAATCTTGTCCTTCAAAACTGGCACGATTTCAAGCATTAATTCCGCCGCCAAATTTCGCTTCTCGCCGCCCGGAACGTTGTAAGCTTTTGAGAGATCGGAAAAGGCGGTCTCTGCGACGGTCGAAAGGTGGTCTGGGATCCATGTGAGAAGCTCGTGAGTGGAGGAGCGAGAAGCGGAGAGCAATGAGCAACCTAAAGCGAAGTCTTTGAGTGATAATTCTGTTGAGAGAAGAGATTCGAGCGTTGATTTTGTTGAGATTCTGGAGGTTTCATGAGGAGTATATGGCGTTTTCAAGAGCAAGTTGAGGATTTGCTTCGTTAATCTGCAACATATATATATATATATATATATATATATATATATATATATATAATAATGAAAATATTGAAATTAAATGAAAAGAGAGAGCAAAAAGAGAAGGAAAAAAGCTTACTGAGAGAGATGGCTATGGAGATCGGGGAGTGGGTTCGTCATTTTTCGACTCGGTGCGAAACACGCACAATATCGGTACCAACTCTCGGCGGTATTACCATCATTTATTTCGTTCTCTGGTTTAAATGTTTAATATTTAAAAAATTAAAAATCAAGTCTTCACTTTTAATCATTAATTTTTTAAAAAGAATTAATCATTTATATTATTAGTTTATAACATTTTTTTTTATGAAAAAGAAGCTAAGCTATTCTAAACTACTCAGATTGTTGTCAGGAACCAGTGGACTACTAGTAGTAAGCCGTAAAAACTTAAAACCTCCATTGATGGCTGCTGGAAAAGTTGAACATCGAAATCTGTCGAGCGAACTATCTTAGCCATTCCGTTGCGATTGTGTTGCATCTTCTATTTATAAACCTGAATGTTACCCTCCAATTCCGCCTTATCAAATCTAAAATGTGAGGCACCAAAAATGAGCCACCCCATTGATCCCCATTCTCTTCCAATACCGCAAGCGCTTCGCGACTATCCGTTTCGACGATAACAGCTGCAAGTTGCATATCCCAGGCCAATTTGAGACCTTCTAATATACACCATAATTCGACATCTAACACCAAACAAGCTCCAATAAATTTAGCGTAACCCAAGACCCATTTACCGTCTTCATCTCGAAGTGCTCCCCCACACGACGCTGTCTCTAAGCTGGTGTTTCTTGCTCCATCAGAATTTAATTTAACCCACCCTCTAGAAGGAACTTGCCACGCTCCATCTTTTCGATTACTCGAAACACACTGCAGCTGCTTGGACACAAGTAGGTAGGAGAAACCACCATTTCGTTAACCAGCCGATTACTACGTTCTAAAATGCTTCCACCTGCAACAAACTCCTCATCGAAAACCAGACTGTTTCTCCTTTTCCATAGACTCCAGACAATGGCGCCGAACCGCAACTACCAATGCTCATCGCTACAAGGAAAATAACCGGGTTGGGTAATATTGCGTTTGATCCATGAAAATAAATCCATGTTCATAAATGCCCTATATCGCTCCAATCTCACAACAGCTTGCCAAGTCGACTTCGCTGTAGGACACTCTCTTAATACATGAGATGCCGACTCAATAACTGCCCCACATATCGCGCAACTAGCCATCGAAGTAAGATGTCTCCGAACCCGTTCTTCATTCGAAAGCAACCGTCCTTTACAAATTAGTAATAACATTCTAATCCAAGGGAGTCCCTTATGCTTATATATAAAATCCCACGAAGCCGTGTCTTGCTCCGAAGAAATGCTACCACGCCGTTGGTAAGCACTTTTCGTCGTAAAACGACGATTATGTTCCCATTTCCAAATAGGCTTATCCATGCCACCATTCGAAAAAAGGGGGGTACTGCTGCAATAAAAGGCAGCACCGTGGATGGTAGTAACACTTCCAGAGCCGTCCAGTCCCAATCGCCCATTCGATCATCTTTGATTGAGTAGGAGCCACATGTCCATTTGGCAAGAGAATATTGCCTAACGGACCCAATCCTAGTAACCAATTGTCTCGCCAAAAATCCACAGTTAAGCCATCTCCGAGGTTCCACAGTATCCCATCCCGGATATCTTCCCAGAGTGAGCCCAGGATCCTCCAAATGCGAGAACATCCAGATTTGGATATTGAAATTGGACATACATCCAACACTTTGTATTTAGACCGCAACATACGAACCCATAGTCTGTCCCGTTCAGAAACAAGTCTGAAGCCGATTTCATAATAAGGGCTTCGTTTTGGTACTTCAACCGCCGCACGCCAATTCCACCTTGTTTCACATCGGTGCAAACCTCATCCCCAATTCACAAGGTGTATCTCTCTTCTGATCAGATCTTCCCTACACAAAACCACATATTAATTTCTCAATCTCATCACAGGTGTCTCGTGGAAGATAGCAAGATTGCATCACATAAGAAGGGATAGCCGATAACACTAATTTCACAAGCGTTAGGCAACCCGCCAAAGAATGGTGTCGCGCTTTCCATCCAGATAGTTTCTCTCTTAAAGTAAATTTAATGTTCATTTTATATAAAAAAAAACATTTCAAAAATTTTATCTAAAATTTATTTCAACTACACAATCAAAAAGATACCTCACTACTTATAAAATTATAATTCAAGGGACCAAACTAATATGGAATTAATGTAAAAGATTACATCTCAATTTTTCACATCTTAGAGGTACTAAAACCACAATTAACCCTTTATTTTATTATTATTTTTTTAATAGAAGCAACTAGTATTATTAAAAAATTAAAAATATCCGAAATTATAATAAGAGTTTACAACTATCATCGTAAACTAAATAAATAATTTGGACTTTTTCTATAACAATGAAACTAGTCACTTTAGATCATATAAGAACCATACATGTAAAAGGTTAAAAACTCACCCAAGAGACTTGAACAAAAATAACTACGAATAAATCTTATTGCATCAGTAAACGAACGAATTAAGCTATTGAAAGATCACCAAGAACTGCAGATCAGAGCTTAGCGTCATGAAAAATTATTCACAAACGCAAAATCACGCATCTAAATTCAATCCGAAGGTCTACAACAGGGAATATCATCAAGATTTCGAATAAGCGTCATCTTGATTATTCGTGGCAGGTTAAAAATTCAATCGAAAGAAAAACAAATATAAATAAAAGAACGAACAAACAATCGAGAAAAAAAAAGCGAAAAACATATCATAAAGACAGAGATAAACATGTCACAAAAACATATATAAACATGCAACACAGACATAATTATTCTTATTAAAAAAAATAAAAGAAAATCAAAGAAAAAGAGAACCAACGGTCGACAACCAACATCAAAGTTAATGTCGTCATCGGTTAAAGAAAATCTAAGAAAAAAGTTGATTTGATAAATTTATAAGAAACGATCTATTGATTTGATGATTATAGTATCTTGACATAAAATGAGGAGTATGTTTCAAAATCTTCTATTTCGTATATAAATACTTAAAATTATTGAAACGAGGGAGATTTAATGTATATATAATAGCTCCTATTAAAATACTTAAATATAGATCATTGATAAAAAAATTTATTCTATATAAATTGTCGAATTCAATTTATTTATACAAACTGCTCGAATGACCATTTCATCATTAAAAAATATTTTTTATAATTTAAATTAAATAAAATATATACATAAATAGTAATTTGCACTGAGACAATCTGAATTTGATAAAACCTTGAAAGAGTTGTTTTACAATATTCACTTCTACATAGATCATACAAACACCATGCTTAAATGCAGATTAATGTCCGTAAGCGAACGGAGACGAACCGGAGTTCTTTTTTTCCTGGTTCCATCCCGACCATAAAATCTGAGAGATCAATAAGAAATCACACGAGCAAATACGGGAAAAAAAGGAGAACATTCGAAGGTATTCAAGCCTCGGGAACGGATGCGGCCGCGCGCTTAATTGATGCGGATTTGATAAGATGGTTGTAGCTTCCTTTCTCCTTGAAGAGCTGGGAAAAGTGATGTTTGCAATACAGGATGCCTTCAAGTGCTGCATAATTTGATGGACTTAAAGAGCAGCCACCATGAGAGCACTTGAAACATGATTTGTGGTAAGACTGTCCTTCCACGGTTACCTGTCGGAAAATTGGGACAAAGATAAAGTTACAGAAGTGAAGATCGTTGTACAGACGAATCGAGCACATCAATACGCATTTCGATTATGTCAAGAGTCAGATGAAGTTACAGATGTAAAGATCAAAATGCATGAGACAGTAGTTTTAAGAAAATATCAACAATGTGACGTCTTCATAACACCTTCCTTCAACTTTTGTGATGCTCAAGTGTTCATAGACACGGATATAAACCAATCAAATTGCCGATAAGAACTAGGTTAGTCGGATTTGTAAAGAAACAAAGAATCACTTAGAGCGTGACGACATTACTAATCTTATCGGAGAAGTTGATTACACCATATGGAACCAGGACAACACGAAATATAATTATACCCTCTTATTCAGAAGAGATGACCCTCCAAATGCATGAAAAAATTGAATGCAGTATTATCGGACATATAATCATATCCGGCACTTACACCTAAGTTTGAATAACATAGGACAAATAGCCAGAAATTCAAGTCTCACAACTGCAGAAGAGATGCATTTCTCACATGATCTCGGAACTCTACCTTCTCAAGTGGATATGCGGTTTTGCTACAAGTAGCACATTTTTCGACCGTCCCAGAAAACATCCTGGCAGCTTTGCTCGGTGATCTCGTCTGCAGTCAAAACAAGCTATTAGGAAATAGGAAGAACATCAAACAACCTATCAAACCCTATAATTTTGCTAATCGAATCACCAAAAGCATGTGTATTTTTGCATTAGAAACTTACTATTTTTGCATTAGAAACTTACCAGGTCAGGAGTTAACTTCTCAGCTGTCTTTGCAGCTGTTGACAATAAGATTAATGGCATATTAAACCAACATAATGAAATTCTTAAGGAACCAGACAAATGATTTTATTTGGCAAGATCGAAGTTACATACGTGACTGGAAATTCTTGTTGAAGTTACCCGTCTCCTTGAAGAGTTGCTCGAAATGAGGCTTGCAATAAAGAACACCTTCCATTGAGGAGTAATTAGCCAACTGGAGATGCATACAATATGCCAAATTAGAAGCAGAAACTTCATTACAATCCAATCAATAAAGTCAGTCGATACATAAACTATCATGTCAACAACCCACGTTCACCAAGCCTCGAACAACACATTCTCTCTAATATGTATTAAGATAGAAAATTCCATCATATGGACCGTGTTATGAAAGCAGTAATGTCTAATTGAAGTAACCATATGCAACACATTTGAACAATTATTATAGAGCTATGCCCCTCCAAATATATAGGAAAACATACCCATACTTAAAAAATACCTATGTCGAATACTCACACTAGAGTCCGAGGTAACATAATCAGAAGCTACTACTAAATGCAATGAATGGCAAAACAGATACACAGTGTCTCATTTGCTTTAAACCAGGTCAACGTACAAAACAAGCATGTCAACTAGTATTTTCATCTACCCTACGAATGATCAAAAAGCATTGTAGAACCATAAACTCACACCCAAATCCGAGTAACATAAGTAAAATTAAAAGGTACTAAATTGCAAAACCACATAATGACACCCAAATCCGAGTAACATAAGTAAAAGCTACTAAATGTAATAACTGGCAATGTGTACAAAACAAGCAATGCCAACTCATTTTTAATCGATATCAACGAATGATCAGAAAACTATCGACGGCGATAAATAAAAAGCAAACCTTTAGAGTCCCTTTGCAATGACTGCACTTGAAGCAAGATTTATGGTAAGGAACTCCATCTGCAGACAAAAGTTCCACCGGATAAACAGTCTTTTCACAAGCCTTGCATTTCTGTTGGGTACCGGTAAACGACATGGCTCTTTAGATCTAATCGTACTGCTCTTTATCGGATTCCAAGGATCAGCTTTAATTCGATTTCCTCTCTTATATGTGGCTATATTAACTGCTTTAAAAAAGAAGAAGCAAAACACACATTTCAGAATCAGATCATGTCAAATTCAACATTTGCTACAAATTTTAGAACTTTGAATAAGTTTATTTTTCATTGATGGCAACACGTAGAGCAACTATTGCCCAGCTAAACTCTTCATTGCTTATAGAACTCGTGTTCAACACATCTATGGGTATTTAAATAGATGAAAAATTAATTCGAAACACAAATGAATACGTGCGAATCCACAAAAGTAAGCCTTTTACATTCTTTTTTTAGCAGTAAAAGCAAAAATAAAGAAAACATAGTCTCAGACACTTAATAAACTTTGGTTCATTCTAAAAAAACCCCGATCTGGGAAAAACAAAAATCCAATGCAAAACCCAGTAAGCTGATCTTATTTGAAATAAACTAAAAAACCAAAAAATGATGAAAAGATGGTGAGATAAAGCAAGGCAAAAATGGTTTGAAATTGAAACTTGAAAAAGGAAAAAACTGTACCTTTGATAGAAGAAGAAGGGCTGGATCTATGAAGGAAAGAAGAGATCAAAATCAAATGAGAGTTACAGAAAGGGAGTAAAAGAGGTCTTATGGGCTTCCGGATGTGAAAGAGAAATACAAAAGAAGTGGGAGATTTGGGATTTTTGCAGCGAATAGATGGAGTAAAACGTGGATGATGATATTAATGATTAAGGAAGAGAGAGAATCAGGGAGGAGATTGTATCGATTTTTTTTGGTGCTTCATTAGTAAGGTATTCGTTGTTAGGGAAAATTACAGATTTACTCATTAAACTTTAGTCTCTCCCCCATTTCACTCACTATACTTTCAATCTTTTCAATTTAATTACCCAACTTTATACGTTGGATTTTTTGGACTTGACCGTTTTCTCACAAATAACGTGGCTTAATTTAATATTAAAACTAACCACTTTTAATTCTCTCTCTTTTTTTTCCTTTGACCCGCTTCTAATTAAACAACACAAGTCGAGGAGGCTCGCCGCGTTAGGTGGAAATATGAGATTGAAAGATAAGGTTCCACCCAAGAGCAACGAGACTTAGCCTTGAACTTTAAAACAGTGTACAAGGCAATTTCGGGAACAACATGATTTTTAGTAGCAGTTGAAGCCCTTGGTGCAAAGGTTGCACCAGTCTACTGTACACAAAAAGAAGATGAAGAAACCCATATTCCAATGTAGGTTCAAGAGAAACCTATAAAAGATGGGATTCAAACTGAAATGGAAAAAGAGGAAGCCCCCAAAGGAAAGGTGCCACCAACTCAGGTGAAGAAAGAGAATGGCACATGTGAGAGACAACCAAAAACAAGGAAACTGACGCTAGGAGCTAACCGGGGGGGGGGGAGTAGAAAAAGAGAATCCAAATGGATCAATCTCTATATCCGAGGGAGAAGCCAAAGAGAAACAATAAGGCTTAAATGTAGAGGACAAAGACAAGACAGTAGATGCAGAGATAAACGAAAATGGTAAGGTTAAAGAAAGTGGGCAAGTTAATACCATGCAACCTAGAGGAGCTGCTGCGGCTGTGAGCAGCAAAATAAACCAATATTCTAGTTGAATTTGCATATGTAATCTGTCTGTGACAGTAATGATGTTTGTGCTAGATTTGGTTGTCAGTAGGATAACAATCAACCTGTATCCTTGTAAGAAACAGGTACAAACATTGCAGGTTTTGTTACATTGTGCAGAACTTAGGTTGTGAACACCTGGAACCCGTGATTTATGGTTTGTTGCTCAAATCTCAGATTGAACATTACATGTTATGTCATTGATTAAATGCACTGTGATTTATGTATGATTTGATATGTTGTTGACACAATGAGGAAGTTTCTTTCATCGTTTTTTTTCCGTCCACTTGTTTAACGTGCAGCCTTGTTATCTTTTACTTAAAGCATATAGGGTCACTGAAGCATATAGGTTCAGTTTCAAAGTTTTTTTTTTTCCTCCTCAAGTGTTCCATTCTGAATATCGATCTTATTTGTTGCGTTGACATGCATATACTTGCAAGGCTCTTCTCAAGATGTCAAACTTGCGCAATGAATATGTCAAAGGAGAGTAAAATGAGGGTCAAAGCAGGATTTTGGGGTGCTTTTTACCGGCTGTGTGGGGTTCTTTTAATGACTAATATTTTATAACTCCACTAAGTCATAACATTGTTAAAAGAGAGTTAGATTTAGTGAATAAATTTATAATTTACTCTTATTATAATATTTTTAAGGACGAGTATATACATATATTTAATATTAGGGTAAAGTATATAAATGATCCCTTGATTATAGAATATTATTTTATTGAGTCCTTCTACTATAAAAGTTACAAAATGATCCCTTAACTATTAAAGGTATACAAATAATAGAGGGAACATAAAGCTAATTTAAAACACTATAAAGGGAATGAAAAATATAAGGGCTGAATCTATTATTAAGGTTGTAAATGAGACGAAACATATCGTCAGTCCATCCGATGGTTATTGTTGAACGAGCACCACAAAAGCAAACCCAATTTGCGTTTTCTGCATCCACGTTGTTGAACGAGCTCCTTCACTGTTCTTTTCTTTTCCAGCAGTTTCTTTAGGGTTTAGAAAGGAAAAATGTAAGAATATGTGAGTTAGGGTTCCTTTAAATAAGAGACCTTGCCCAAACTTTTTTACGTGACATTGTGAGGTGGCATTATGATATCCAACATGGAAAAAATTCATGAAAAATACACGTTAGACACGTCGTTAGTTTTTTAACAGCACGTGACTTGATTGAATGCATTTAAATAGTTTGGTGACTCAATTGACAAAAATTCAAAAATTGTGGTCAAAATGAAAAGAGACTATAGTTAAATAATCACCCGTATAGTTAACCCTTTTATTTTGCAAATAGCAGCTTTTATTTAATTGTCTATTTGTATAAATGAAATGAATAATTCTATTTTTGAATGGTGGGTGGAAATATTAAAACAATAAAAACACGTTATTAAAAATAGGGATATAAATAAATATTTGTGTATGCAGAAAATCATCGTTAGGAGACTCACCCACCAAAATCAAGTACGCGACTCGGGTCAATCCAGATTAGTCAGGGTGAAGTCTTAGAACTAGAGGGCAACCAAAAAAATAGGGATATAAATAAATTGAATTTGAACAAATAATGTTATAATTATATTTGTTTATTTATCTTTAAAATAATATATGTTCGATTTGTTTAATATCTTTGAATATATTTATTTAGTGTTCATAAACATATTTGTTTTAATATTTACCAATATATCATTTTAGCGTTCATCAACATATTCATCTAATTCTCATGAATATGCTTGTTTATATGTTTCAAATCCCCTCTACAATCAACACACTCTTTTTATTCTTTTATTTATAAGTTAAAGAAAAATGATAAAATTATATTATTAGGCTTTAAGTTCCTTAAGAATTACATTATGAACTCTAAAATTCAATGTATATTTAATTTAATATCTATCTTCACTAATTATTTTATAAAAATAAAAAAGAAAGAATATAATAAATAAGTTTATAAACAAATTATATGAATCTGGTTGTGAACATAAATAAATCAAAACACATTTATTCATATTCATATATTTAATAAATAAATATAAAAATTTTATTCATATTTATTTATTTAATTAATTTAATAAATAAACATTTTTTAAAGAAATGTAAATATAAGATTAAATACCAATAGTATTGAGAATCACATCGTTAGTAATACAATCAGGAATATCAAAGATGAAATAAAATGAATTGATTGTCGACAACGTCCATTGAGCAAGAGAATGAGCAACATAATTCGCCTCTCGATTGATATAGATAAACTTAAGATTCGGGTTATTAATCAACATCGTACAAGCCGCATTAATCCAATCACCGAGATATCTTCGTACGAGCTATTAAAACGGTTAACAATAAACATGGCATCCCCTCGACTTGTCCCAACCATATTCTCAATGGCCATTTGGAGTCTTACCGTAAAACTACAAGCCTCGACCAATTCGGATGGGCGAGTCTCTTCCAGCCTTCGAGCAGAACCCCTTACAACCATACCATGATGGTTGCGAGCAACGAGCCCAAAAGCAGCAGCGCCGGTGGTGGGGTTAAACGCCCCATCCACGTTAATTTTAATACTCCCAGGCGAAGGATTTCTCCACTGTTTACCCATGTGCACTGTGTTCTCATTTGATCAACACGTGGCAACCCATTAGCTTTCATGAAATCAGCCACCAGAAGCCATGATGAACTGATTTCCTCAATTGGCTTCTGCATCTCCCCATTATGCACCCAGCTGTTGAGTCGACTCCATGTATTACAAAGAAGAGTAAAAAGTTTTGAGAGACTTACCCGATCAAGAGAGACAGCAGTCGCTACCAGCCATTGTTTGCAGTTTAGGAACTGATCATCGATGCGCAAACTGTTAAAGCATGATAGCAAAAAAAAATTTCTTGTTTTTGGGAAATCCTTAAGGGCGTGGATTGTTGCGGAAGACGGCTATCGGATAGAGCAAAATCGCAACTGATAATTTGAGAAAATAAAAATGAAGATAAAAGAGACACAAAATTTACGAGGAAAACCCCTGAATAATATAGGGTAAAAACCACGGGCAACGGTAGAAGAATTTCACTATGAGAAAATAGGAATTACAACTTCTCTCGATCTACCAAGGAGAAAATAATGATAATTCTCTCTTGATAAAAAGGAAAAAACAACTCTCAAGAAACTCTCTAAATTCTCTCTAGTATTGGAAGAAAGCTAGAATGCTTTGAGATGACTTTGAAGCTAAATGAGCTAAGGTATTTATAGTTGAAACTTAAGGACTAATCTTATAAATACCCTAAAGTTTAGTGACTAAAGTTTATAATTTACCCATTTAATTTTCAAACATTATTGCACCTAATTTTGACATTGTTGCACCTAATTTTGACATTGCAATATTAGGTGCCTAACTTGAACCAATTTTTTGCACATTTTAACAATCTCCTGCTTGAAGATTTGATTGGAACAATCATATCTTCACACCATTCTTTCTACCTTGTACCATCATGTTGCTTACGTCTCTGACATACCACAAGAGGATCGACACCAGGTAAATTTATCAGCGTTGATCGCCTTTGTCATGAAATCTGCTATGTTGTCTTTGATATGGATCTTCTGCATATCTACTGTCCCTTCTTCCACCTTTTCACGAATGAAATGATACTGAACTCGTATGTGTTTTGTCCTTGAATGAAATGCTGGATTCCTTGCTAGATGCAAGGCGCTTTGACTATCACAAAATAGAGAGACATACTCTTGATTGTGCCCAAGCTCTTCCAATAGCATCTTCAACCAAATTGCTTCTTTATTGGCTTGTGTAGCTGCTACATATTCTGATTCTGTTGTTGACGTAGCCACAGCTGACTGCAATTTTGAAACCCAGCTTACAGCTCCACCAGCAACTTTGAACACATATCCTGTAGTAGATTTGCTTTTATCCAAATCCCCTGCATAGTCAGAATCTACATACCCATTGATTAGTAAGTTTGATCCTCCGTAACATAATGCAACATTTGAGGTCCCTTTGATGTATCTCAGGATCCTCTTTACTGTATTCCAATGCTCTTTTCCTGGATTCGCCATGTACCGACTAACCACTCCCACTGCTTGTGCAATGTCTGGTCTTGTGCATATCATAGCGAACATCAAACTTCCCACTGCTGATG